GTGGTAATCGATTTCACAGGGAAGTTGTGCAAGGAAGAAAACATCTTCTAAATCGCACAGTGGTGGACCGCCAATCATCCAGATGGTGCGGATGGTATCGGGAGTTCTGCCGCGATGTGCGTTCGTGAAATTTGGCGGCTAGGATTACCGAACAATTCCTCACAGCACTCCCCGTGGTAAATGCGAAGGAAAATGCAAAAAGATGCAACATCTCTTCGCAGTGTCAATGAATCGAGCCGATCGGAAAGGACTCGGTCGTCGACGATTCGAGCCGCTCTGCGCTGGATGAGGTCAAGTGGAAGGAGCTAGCATTGGGGAGCCCCCGCCCAGAGATGGGAACAGTATTCCATGTGAGGCCGAACCTGCGCCTTGTAAAGTTGCAGACGGTGCGCCGGCATGAAATACTGTCCCACTCTGTTGAGCACGCCAAGCTATTTAGAGGCCAGTTTGGCCTTCTCTTCCAAGTGACCACGAAACTGCACGTCACTCGATATGTCGACGCCAAGGATTCCGATGCTGGCTGAGGCAACAAGGGGAGTGCCTTGAAACTGAGGAGATACGACAAAGGGGTTCTTTTTAGCGGTAAACGCGCAAACTTGTGTCTTCTGAGGATTAAACTGGACTAGATTTAGTCGCCCCCAATCTGAGACTTTGTTCAACAAAGACTACTTCAGACACAAGTTTGTTCCGGTACTCGGCGACGTTTTCCCGAGAAATATTGGCACGGCCGGTGTATAGAGCATCACCACTGCTGTCATCCGCATAGCAATGAATGTTAACAGTTTGCAACATATCATTGATATGCAGAAGAAACAGCGTTGGTGATAGCACACAGCCTTGTGGAACACCAGCGTTAATAGGCTTATAGTCGGAGCATGCACTGTCTACAACCACCTTAATGCTCCTATCTGCAAGGAAGCTGGTGATCCAATTGCACAATTTCTCAGGAAGCTCATAGGAAGGAAGCTTCGAAAGAAGCGTTTTGTGCCAAACCCGATCGAAGGCCTTCGCAATGTCCAGACTAACGGCCAACGCCTCCCCCTTGGACTCAACTTTCTCCGCCCATCTATGAGTCAGGTAGACCAGAAGATCACCAGCTGAGCGACCCCGATGAAAACCGTACTGGCGGTCACTAATCAGCTGGTGATCCTCAAGGTACCGCATGAGCTGGCAGTTAATAACGGATTCCATTATTTTGGAGAACAAGGAGGTGATGGCGATAGGCCTGCAGTTGGACGGGTCTGAGCGGTCGCCTTTTTTAGGAAGCGGGTGGACAAAAGCTTTCTTCCATGATTTCGGGACTACGCCTAGCGAGTAGGAGTACCGGAAAAGACGCGTTAGAACCGGTGCCAACTCCTGAGCATTCGTCCTCAGTACAATTGGGGGGATTCCGTCAGGCCCACTCGACTTGTAGATGTTCAGAGACAGGAGTGCTTGGCGAACCGAGCGCTGTGAGAACCGCACATCCGGCATGGAGCACTCACACCGCGGGATGGTCGGCGGTGTGTTCCACCCGTCATCAAGAGTCGAGTTGGACGCAAAAAGAGAGCCTAAAAGGTCGGCTTTCTTTCTCTCTTGTGGCGTAGGCCAGTGAGTCGTCCTCCCTGTGCAGAGATGGTAGTGATGGCGTACAGAAATTCCCTTGGACAGCCTTGGCGAGAGACCAGAATGCACGGGTTCCCGAAGGAAGGCGAACTAGTTTCTCGTCAATTCTGCCCATGTGCTCTGACTTTGCCTTGGCAATAACTCTTTTGAAGGACCTGGAAGCGAAGTTATACTTCTTTTTAAGCATACTGGTGTTTACATCCCAAGTCACCGAAGCCGCAGCCCAGGCTTGATAACACTCCTGCTTACTGCGTAATGCAGTCTTACAGGAGTGACCAAACCAAAGCTGAGATCTGCCTCCGATGGGTACCATAGATGATGGAATAAATAGTTCCATTCCCTGTAGCACCACATCAGTGACAGAGTCAGCAACAGCGCTGGGATCATCCGGCGAGAAGCAAACCCGCCCCCATGGGTAGGATGCAAAGAAAGACCGCATTCTGTCCCAATCCGCCGACCCGAAATGCCAAACAGGGCGGCAACCTGCAGAACGCAACCGCGAACGCTTCTGCGGGATGGCATGGGGTAGTATGGGTTCTCCTACTCCACCACTACAGTGGCTTTTTCTTTTATTTGAAAAAAGAATTTCCTTTCAGTCAATACCAAAACCGCATAAGGTTAGAGATGAGATTCAATTCACACCAATTTGTCATATAGATATCTGGCCTGGTGATATCGAAAATGATTGCAAGGATGAGATTTTTTGCCTTGATGCCGTTAAAGTTGAGGAAGAGATTTTCGAATATGAAAATTCCAAATTGGAAGAAAATGAGAATCATGAAACAGGTAAGATATACCCTTTTTGATATTATTAAGGTACAATTTACCTTATGGCAAGTGGTTACTGTAGCCCGTAGACACAAAATAAAGAGGGCTTCATGTGTAATGTATTGATTTACTGATTTGCCTTTGTCTAAATTCAAAGTGCATGTTTTTATTAGTATGCCTAAAAATTTAAATTTTCTACCTCAATCTGGTTTTGGGAGACCTAAATTTGAAAAATTAGTAACAAATCCGCGAAGTGATACCTCAAATGAAAGAGTACTAACCAAGCATGTTTTCAAAAAGGTAAAATTTTCGTGAACTGTTTCTGTACAAAAAATGTCTGATGACACAGATGCTGAGACCATGTTTACTTAGATTGCTTACACATTATTTAAATTAAAAAAAAAACAGACATTTATAAAACTGGCAATTATTAGCAAAGAATTGTAAAATTTTTGCTTTTATCACCAAAAACAATAAAGTATAGTCAGACTTTGTCTAACATAACTATGGCCTAAATGATACTTTTCAATCAACAAGTCAATCTTACAACTATCCTGTATAATGCCTGGTTCCGTGTGTGATTCGAAGCAGGGATTATTAGATTAATGTAATTATAACACGTTCAGAAGAACGTCATCATTATCATTCGAATAGTTTCTCTACCATTCATTCCCTCCAAAATTACTGAAACTAATTGGCTAAAATACTTTATATGTATATAGAAATTCCATTGAATTTCTATATACATATAAAGTATTGAGTACATGACTCTAACATAACTCATTACAAGAGTATAATCATGTAAAATATTGTAATTTCTCTATTTCTCCCTGGGTTACCAATAGAGAATGCCATAAGGCATAAACTCCGCCCAGTGTTCACAGTCTGTGGTGTCTTACAATAAATAAAATGTTTAATTCGTATGTATTTCAGAACCATACATCACACCGACAAATAATTTTTCAAAACTGTCTGAGAGGAAGATTAAATCAAATTCTACTGATTGTAACATAAACGATGTTCGTAAAGGAAATCCCGATTTAGAAAGCGCTAATATTAAATCAAAGCTTAAAGTGAAAAAAGATAATCAACCAATTAATAAAAAAGCAAAACATCCTGCAAAGATTATGAAAAAGAAAATTTTGAAACAAAAGAGTGTAAATATACTTACGAAAAAAACGTTAGGGGCATCAACAAAATACATTTTTGAATGTGATGGTTGTAGCAAAAAATTTTCAACAAAAGACATTCTCGCCAAACACATTTCATACAGTCATAAGACGCAAAAGAACCAAAAGAACACCACTGCAGTTCGGACACAAGTTGAACAAACTTCAGTACCACAACTAACGGAAATATTTAATTGTGATATTTGCGAGTTTAAAACATCTCATAAACGTCGCATTTTGGCACATCTTAAAGCGCACGTCGCTAGAAAAGTGTACTGTTGTAATAATTGTTATTATAAATGTACAAATAGACTCGATTTGCAAAGGCATATGAAAATACATACTGGAGAAAAACCTTTTTCATGTAATATCTGTGGATATAAAAGTATTGATAAAAGTAGTTTGCGGTATCATATGAAAATTCATACTGGAGAAAAACGTTATTCGTGTAATATCTGTGGATATAAATGTATTAGAAAAGTTGACTTGCAAAAACATATGAAAATACATACCGGAGAAAAACCTTTTTCGTGTAATATCTGTGAATATAAAAGTATTACAAAAAGTAATTTGCAAACACATATGAAAATACATACTGGAGAAAAACGTTTTTCCTGTAATATCTGTGAATATAAATGTATTATAAAAAGTGGTTTGCAAAGGCATATGAAAATACATACTGGAGAAAAACCTTTTTCGTGTCATATCTGTAAATATCAATGTATTCAAAAAATTAATTTGCAAAGGCATATGAAAATACACACTGGAGAAAAGCCCTTTTCGTGTAATATCTGCGAATATAAATGTAGTATAAAAGGTAATTTGCTAACACATATGAAAATACACACTGGAGAAAATCCATTTTCGTGTAATGTCTGCAAATATAAATGTATTACAAAAAGTAGTTTGAAAACACATATGAAAACACACACTTGAGCAGTACCTTTTTCGTGAGCTATCTGGTAAAATATGTGCAATATTATGTAAATGTGTTTTACATAAATATAAAAGTATACTAGATAAAATCCATTTGTCATGAGTTCCTTATGTAACTGTAGAACGAGTAGAAAAACCTTTCCGTGCCATATGTGCTAATTGAAACTGCATTTATTCTGAAGAAGCTAATTCAAAAACCAAAGAAGCAACCAAGTGAAACCAAGTTTAATTCGTATGTATTTCAGAACCATACATCACACTGACAAATAATTTTTCAAAACCGTCTGAGGGAAAATTAAATCAAATTCTACTGATTGTAACATAAACGATGTTCGTAACGGAAACCTCGATTTAGAAAGCCCTACCATTAAATCAAAGCATAAAGGGAACAAAAATAATCAACAAATTAATAAAAAAGAAAAGCATTTGCAGAGACATATGAAAATACATAATGGAGAAAAACCTTTTTCATGTAATATCTGTAAATATCAATGTATTCAAAAAAGTAATTTGCAAACACTTATGAAAATACATACTCGAGAAAAACCTTTTTCGTGTAATATCTGTAAATATCAATGTATTCGTAAAAGTCATTTGCAAAGGCATATGAAAATACATACTGGAGAAAAACCTTTTTCATGTAATATCTGTGAATATAAATGTATTACAAAAAGTGATTTGCAAAAGCATATGAAAATACATACTGGAGAAAAACCTTTTTCATGTAATATCTGTGAATATAAATGTATTACAAAAAGTGTTTTGCAAAGGCATATGAAAATACATACTGGAGAAAAACCTTTTTCATGTAATATCTGTGAATATAAATGTATTACAAAAAGGGATTTGCAAAGGCATATGAAAATACATACCGGAGAAAAACCTTTTTCATGTAATATCTGTGAATATAAATGTATTACAAAAAGTGTTTTGCAAAGGCATATGAAAATACATACTGGAGAAAAACCTTTTTCATGAAATATCTGTGACTATAAATGTATTACAAAAAGTGATTTGCAAAGGCATATGAAAATACATACCGGAGAAAAACCTTTTTCATGGCATATCTGTAAATATCAATGTATCAAAAAAGTAATTTGCAATCACATATGAAAATACATACTGAAGAAAAACCTTTTTCGTTTCATATCTGTAAATATCAATGTATTCACAAAAGTAATTTGAATATAAATGTAGAGTGACCCGATGCAAGTGTGACAGTGGGGCAAGTGTAACAAATGCAAATTATGTGGAAAGAATACATTTTTTTGGTTGAAATCCATCTATTGAACAATGGAGGAACTTTTACGCTATTGACTATACCCACCGTTAAGTACATAACTTAAACTATTTTATCCACAGAGGTCATTTTTTAAAAACTACTCAACTGGCGAAATCTTGCGCAATTTTAATAGGTGAAGTTTTTAATTTTTTCGATACTTTATTAAGTTATTTTAAATAACATACTGGTGAGTGATAAAGAATAATATTGGTACTTATAGTGTAATATGTTTCTATGACCTGAAATCCACTATTCCTTGAAATACGGATACAGATACACTTACCTCACCTAATATCTAACATCGGGGTAACTGTGACAGTGTCACGCTTACCTCGATCATCTTGTATGACAATATCGTAACTAGTGATGGGACAGCCATTTTATTACATTTACATTACATTACAGTTATTAACCGACTTTCAAAAAAAGAGGATGCTATGTACCGGTGTGTTTGCATGCATTTATACTTACGTATATACTTTTTTTTAATGAATACAAAATTCCACTAATATCCACAGTGGTAGAGCCACGCGGCAGCTTTTGCTGTCGCACGGATGGGCCGGCTCGAACCGGGGTGGTACCACGACCTCACAGAATACCAGCGTGAAGTAGAGGTTTACCTCTGCGTTTCGCTTGGTGAGTGCAGGTGGCCGGAGGCCCCTTTTTACTGGAAATGAGGCATTCCATCTTAGTCCTCACAGGTGGCAACGCGTCTGCATTTTGATTCGCAAACGAGGATAGATGTAGATGTCTATGGGCCACAGCAACCACTTACCATCAGGTGGACTGTGTGCTCGTTTGTCACCCTTATCCTATAAAAAAAAATAATTAAAATACGTGTCAAAGAAAAATGTAAGAGGATGTCAGAAGCAGAAGTAATGAGTGCTATTGAAACAGATGCTGAAGATACAAGTATAATTAGATTTTAGAAAAAATTACGCTGTTTTAGTGCGATATTACGAGATGAAAAAATGGCAGTATTATGTTGAGATACTACAGAATATTGTAAAAAATGATCGGTACAAAGTATTTTATTACAAGCATTATGTAGACCACAAGTGGTTGAGACACATAGTTAGACCACAAATTAAAGATTTTGTACATCCGACTTCAATAAAAATTATTAAAGATAACTCAAATACTACTGGTTACCGTTGATCAAATTATATGGGACCACATGAGATGCACCAGCTTTCAAATAAAAAAAAGAATCATCAAAATCGGTTCACCTAGGAAAAAGTTATGAGGTAACACACATAAAAAAAAACAGTCGGATTGAGTACCTCATTATTATTGAAGTCGGTTAAAATAGAAATAACCCCAATGTGTTTGTTTTGTTAAACGATGAAGATGACGTCTTTTTTCTTTTAAATTTAACTAAATAATACATTTATTAATAAGTTTTTATTCAACTAAAATAGCATATATGATATAAGTACCAAAGCATTATGGTTATATTAGTATTTATTGTTACGTTTCTGTATTAAAGTTATTTTTCACTTGGCATTGTTTTATTACATTTACAAAACATCCAGGGCAAGTGTGACATAAATCCACTTAAAGGCACATCACTATATCAGTTAAAAACAGTCACACTTGCCCCATGTGGGGAAAACTAATTTTTACACAAGAATGGACGTTCAAATTGTTCAAATAGATCATAAAATATATTGACATTAGTATCATCTCATCAATTTTGACGAAAACTACAGATAATAATAAAGTAACTGCAAAAAGAAGCGTAGTGTCACACTTGCATCATTGATGGGGTGAGTGTGACAGTCTTCCACTTTAATTAGTTTTAATTACCTCAAACTACCAAATGCTACTTATTGATACTAAAATCCACGATCAAACAAACAACCCCTTAATAATTGATGTTTTAAAACTGAATTATCTCTGTGAAACACTTACAGAGTGGAAGTATTTAAGTGTCCATTATAGTTTTAATTATGTCACACTTGCCCCGGGTGACCTTATTACAAAAAGTGATTTGCAAAAGCAAATGAAAACGCACACTTGAGCACAACCTTTTTTGTTAGAGATCTGGTAAAATATGTGCAATATTATGTAAACGTGTTTTATGTAAATATAAAAGTATACTAGATAAAAATCCATTTGTCATGAGTTCCTTACGTAACTAGAATGAGTAGAAAAACCTTTCCGTGCCATATGTGCTAATTGAAACTGCATTTATTCTGAAGAAGCTAATTCAAAAACCAAAGAAACAACCAAGTTAAATTGAACCTTAAAATATGTACCGAGTGATTAGTGGAAACAGACCAGACTTTATTGTGTTTTTTGTTTTATTTAAATCATACTCGTACTAGTTTATATTTTTCGTTTTGACGTTGAATATTACCATTACAGCTTATAAAAGTCCACACGACAGAGAGAAACAAATCAGGAGCTGAGCAGCAGCGTCTTCCTAATAAAATAAAAAAACTGTGTTGCCAACCCTGCCAAGCGTGGCAATTATGGCAAATATCCCCCTATGAGGCAATCCATGGATGAGGCCTATGTTCGGCAGTCGACTTTAATAGGCTCTCTAACAATAACGATAAACGACGAAACGAAAAAAGAAAAACATTATCCATCATTTAAATAAAAAAAACATGGTCTGGTCTGTTTCACTAACCTCCCATTTGTTTCATATTTTAAAGTTCAATTTTGTGTTTGGTTTTTGAATGAGCTTATTCAGAATAAATGCAGTTTCAATTAGCACATAAGGCACGGAAAGGTTTTTCTACTCGATCTATTATTCCGTACAAGTCTTATCGTCTTATCGTAATGGTTTTTGTAGTCAAGTTATTAATTAATTTCATATTTACACTAAAATGTCCAGACTGAATTCGGATTTCGAAGTGAAACTGAAACATTAAACTCCTGCCGTGGCAGCTAACTATAAATTAAAGTGAAAGACATTTACATCACTACTTTTATTTTTTTTGAATGTAGCGAACCTCCTCTTTACCTACGTAGACAGTATCTTGCCGATCGCTTTATATATAGAATATTTCAGCTATCTTCACACCCACTCATCAGATTATCTTAAGTTAATGAAGGAAATGATTTTGTTATTTATTTTAACGTGTGGACCTAATATATAGATATAGATAAGTATAAGAGTAAGATAAATATATATGTAGCAAGCTACATATATATTTATCTATGGTGTGGACATTGTTTTTATTAGTTTTCGACACTTACTGCTTTATGCACGTTACACACTTATATGAAATAAACTTCAAATCACGTTGACAAACTGCGCACATAAATAATAACAGCGTATTCTTAGTCACATTAAACAAAATCAGTGTTAGATTGTCGAAAACAACGATCGCGGTTTACAAAACAAAGAACTAGTCTTCACTCCCGCTCGCAGTCGACTAAAGGAGTTACGGAGAGTTAAGCTTTAAGTCCGCCCTTTGTATTCTTTTGTTTTAGGGATTCAATAAATAATAAATAAATAAAAATAGCGAACAAACGCACATCTTTTATTGAATGCTAGTGGCACGCCCCGGCTTCGCTTCGGTGTTGCCATTTATTTCATCTTCGAAATTTAAGATTTCACAATAAAATGACCAAGCTTTGCGGATAAACTATAGCCTACGTCACTCCTGGCATCGCTCTATATCTGTTTGTGAAGTTTCATTTCAGTGCTTGAAGCTATTCCAACATGAAGCAAATACAAAGAGGAGACGTTCTAATTAAATTTCACTATGTAACAACGCGTGACAATTTGCGGGGTGAGGGGATGCAAAGCCCCGCCCACTTTACACTATCTACATCTACCGATAAATAGTAAAACTACTCGAATCGTTCCATATCGATGTTGCAATGTAGTTTAGCTATCTTGATGGTAGATAGCGATCTGTTCACAAAATGATTATAAACTATAAAAATAATATTTTGGCGATTAAAATTTCTTTGTCTGTATGCAAAACAAATTTCAGCACCTTCGTATTTAGTTCACATGACACAAAGTGTCGCCATCTAGTGTCGAATATATTTAATTATATTTGAAAGCCGACGCAAAGAGATTTTTCTAGGACTATTTTAATAAATTAGGTGTAAAATTACTTACAAATGAAATGTGATGCCATTCATAACATCAGAGCGTCTATCTGAGTAGTTTTTACAGGATAAAACACAACACTTCATCCTTTTCTTCTTAATACTACGAAAATACACCGATTTGCGATTTTCAACACTTAAGCGCACAGGACGAGTGCTGACAGTATACTAACTAAAGCCGCGCCCACTGTGATGACTGACGTCAGGACCTACTTAGAATCACGGTGCACAGTTGCTTATGCCGTCTCCTGTTTGTATTTGCTTCATGTATTCAAATGACTAGTCCGGACAGACTTGCAAACAAACATTTCAGAAATGTTTATCCATGTCTTAATGGTATGCAAATAACTCTCGGTAGCGAAGCTTCCATACAAGCCGAGAAGACCTGCTTGCCCTATTAATAATATCAACTAATAAAATAATCGTAAACAGTTTCAAAGCGCTCCTCTGTTCTACACAGGTCGTGACCTCGTAGCCTTATTATGTAACGTCAACACTTGGCAGATTGCTTTACTGCGCGATATTGCTGTCATAAAAAAGGAGTTGAGTTGAGCGATTAGTCGTCTCTCTCGCACGCGTGGGCTTTTTACCGGGCTTTCGAGAAGACGATCGCTCCCTT